CACGGTTTCAAGGCACTCCCTTTGGATAAGGGTATCCTGGATTGCTTTGCCAACAGATGCAATCCCTTCTCACTCATGTGAGCCAGTCTTCTGTGCCATAAGTCTGGTGACTCCTTGTCTTCTGCTGTATTAAAGACTTTCTAGACAGATCTTCGTTTGAGTCTTGCACAGTGTTGAAGACATCTCTCATCTGGCAATTGTCAAAGCTCCTCCTGTCAGCTTCTAACGGCCATTTCCGAATGTACTTGTATAGCCCTGTCGGACCAGGGCGCTTCTAGAGATAAGATTGAGGCGCAAATCTGGAACATGCCTCACATCTTTGAGAACCAGCTTGTGCCCGACATTAGTTTGAATACTAATGTCTCCAATGCCCACAATTTTTGAATAGCTAGAATTTTCCATTCGATTAGTGCCAAAATCTCCAACATTGTACGAGTTGAAGAGTTCTTTGTGAGAAGTGGCGTGATAGGATGTAGCTGTGTCTATCATCCACTCTTTACGGCTGTGGTCAGCCATGTGAAGGCAATCCTTCTCTTCACTAACTGCAAGAAGTATTTCATTAGTTGTTGTGGCTGTTGTGTTCTTATCTCCCTTTGACTTACTGCTTTGGCCTTTAACTTTTCGGCTTGGCCAGTTCCTCTTTATGGGACCCTCCTGGCTACAGTGAAAGCAAGTGAAGCTAGAGTTACCTTGACTTTTACTATCGCTGGATTTACTCCTGCTATTCCATCTGCCTCTACTTTTGCTTCTTCCTCTGCTTTTTCCTCTACCTCTGTCTCTGCTTCTATCTTCTGTGACAAGAGCATGGGACTGATTACCTCCCATGTCTTTCCTCCTTGTCTTTTCAATGTACATGGCGCCTGTGACCATGCTTATGGTCAGCTTCCCTTCTGGTGCAGAGGTGCTGAGAGAAACCACCAACGTCTGGAGCTGTCCAGTAAAGAATTGAGCAGTAGTACGGCTTGCATTTCATCGTCCAAGTGCATCTTGATGGTTGCAAGCTGATTCACCAGATTTTTGAATTCACTGGTGTACTCGGTGACAGACACACCATTCTTCAACTTCAGATTTACAAGCCTTCTCATCACCAAGGCTTTGTTCTGAGCGGTATTTGACTAGTACATGTCATCTAACATTGTCCATAGAGCATAGGCATCCGTCTCCTGGGCAACATGATGGTACACACCATGGTCTATCTATTGTCTGATACTATCGATAGTCTTGCGATTCATCTTTATCCAGTCATCATCCTTCACTTCTTTCGGTTTAACCCTTTTTAGAAAAATAGGGTCAAACAGGTCCTTATAATATAGGATGTCTTCCATCCGTGACTTCCAAATTGCATAATTGGAAGGAGTTTACTTGATCATAGATCCTGTAGTTGATGTAGATTCCTCAACCGTCTTCTTTCTTTTTATAGAAAAATTCGAACGAAAAATCTGACCATATGGTTGTGTCCGGAATACCCCAAATAGTTGAAAAGCACTATTGGATCGTCAGAAACGGACTCAGAATGGTTCATATCAAGCCAAAATAGTTTGGATGGTTCAGATCTACGGGTGTACCTTAGCCGCATAGCACCGGATAGCTGTCCCGGCGGGTTGACTGGTCAACTGCGGAGCGTGCTGACGTGGCGGCAGACACATGTCACTGGTTTTGGCTGATGTGGCGGTGACGTCACGAACACGCGTGCGCACTCGCCTTCTTCTTTCAACCGCGAGTCAGGCGCATGACTGCGATTGGGCTGACGCGCCTACAAGTTCAACGTCTGCATTTGGGCTTCTGCGCTTAGTATGCTCTTTTGCAACTATTGTTTTACTTGTCCACATACAACCAGTACTTATTCGTATAGGTAGCTCTAATTGCCACGGCATTTCCCTGAGGTTGTACTTGTTGCCAAATCATCTATCTATTGATGAATGGTCTTCTCTTCTGATTGAACCAGATCTTTCAATCAACTCTAGAGATAATCATCTCTGTAATCCTCTGATCACCCCCTGACCAATCTTGATCTCCCTCGATCCATTACTTGCTCAAGCCTGATCTTTTCTGGTCTCCAATGATCTATCTCGATCTGTATCTGGTTGTCCAATCTAGTCAAAAATCTTCCCATTCTAACCTTTTCAGTGAATCCCCAGTGTTCCACAATATCCGGCAACCTCCCTTGGCTATCGAAGATGACAAACTCTCATATTTTGACTATCTTCAAAAAACCATTTCAGAATTTCACTATTCTGACCATACAGATGTGTCCGGAATATTCCAAATAGTTGAAAAACACCATTAGATCGTCAAAAACAGACTCAGAATGGCTCAGATCAAGCCAAAATAATTAGGACGTCTCAAATCTGCGGCTGTACTTTTGCCGCGTAGCACTGGATAACTCCCGTGTGCTGACGTGGCAGCTGATGTGGCACCGACATGTCTGACACGTGGCGCTGACGTGTTTGCCATGTGGCGCTGACGTGGCCACAGTCACTCGCCTTCTTCCTTCCGCTGCGCGTGAGGCGCTTGTCGGCGACTGATCTCATGTGCCGGCATGGATAACGGCGTGTGGCTGAGAGTGGGCCTCACGCGCTATCTTCAAGAGACGCGGAAGGGCGCGTGGTACCTCTTCTGGGCCTTTACTTTGCAGTTTTGGACTCCTTTCAGCAAGACCTTGCTCCTGGTATGCTCAAAATCTGATTTTGAGCAACTTGATTTATGGGCAGTTCTGAAAAACACACCCTGTTTTTTCGAAAATCGACCGACGAGACTCTGATACCAATTGTTGGGAATCCAGGATCCCGCCCAAGACCTTCCAGAAATCATACCGAGCAAAAAAAAATCACACACCCAAGGAGACACTATATTTAACGTGGTTCAACCTTAATGCCCATATCCATGGGAGAGTAACCGGTTATCACTACAACAATGGAGAGATTACAGAAAGATTACAATAGAGGAGTTCACACCAATCTCACTCACCAACTCAACCGTCTCCCTCTCTCACACCGAGAGAGACGGTCTCTTTGCCTCACATCTCTCACTCTCTCTTGGTTTACTCTCTCACTCAACTCTCCTCTCAGCCTCTCCATTTATACACTAAGATGGAAGAAGCTGGAGAGCTTGGTTGACACAGCACATAGCCAGCTGTTCCTTCACTTTCGGTGCCATCCATCTTTATGGCATGTCGGTTGGCAGCCGCACTCCTTGACATGTTGCAGCTGGCTTCACATGGAGAAGAGAATCACCCCTCACATGGGGTGATATCCAACACTTTGATACCCTCGCTCTACAAGCCACTTTTTAAGGATGAGTTAGACCTTTGTGTCATTTACACAATAGGAACATTTATCCACCTCCTTTGAAGCTGAAGTGGTGGTCCACAAGTGTTCAAACCCTGTTGTTTAGTTGAATTGGACCTCCTTTATGTGGGATGCCCAACCAGTAAGGTTCAATGTAACCCTATTATCAAGCTTTAAAAATCTCCATTGTTGAAGGAATGGTCTAGGGTTTCCAAAACAACCATATTAAGCAGCACACTTTGCAGAGGACTATGGCTGATTCGTTTTGGCAATTAAATATGTTCTGCCATTGTTTTAATCTGCATAGAAACATGTTAGCTAATAAAAATTATACAGCCTAATTTCACTGTGTAACAACATATAGTGTTTAAAGAGAAATAACTTTGTTATATGTTCCAAAATCATCTTATTTTTCTGATAGCTAGCCTAAAGTAATAGCCTACATAAGACTTTAGCTGTCATAGGTCTAGGTCGCTTTATATAATCATACCTTGAACGTCACTTCATATAATTGTGCCAGTTCAAATATTGTTCCTAATGACCACCCGTTTACAGTTAGTAGACACTAAACATTCCTAATGCTGTATATAATTGCTGAAATGTGATGATGAAATTAAGGAGATATTGCAGTTCTATGATCAGGTTGGGAGTTCTTGTTAGTTTGCAGCTGAGAAACACAAATGTGCATGGTTTTCTATGCAAGTTATTCTGTCTTTGGTCTAAGCAATGTTAGATCCTCAATAAAAATAAAAAAATAAAAAAAATTTAGTCTCACGCAAGAAATCTTCAATGCAACAGTCCGGACAAACCACAATGCTATACATCTTTTCTGAGTAAAAACTGCTGATGATTTATGAAATAATCATAGGTATTGGAGCAGTTAGCACTACTTCTACTTCTATGTTGTAAGTATCCTCATTAACAATCTCTGTCTATCTCAGCATCTGCCATTTATATTCTAACCATTTATAGGAAAGAAAAGTTAAAATATATTTGTCTGTTGTTGAGATAATGTTATTACCTACTCAAAAGTTTAGAAAGAAAAGGGGATCTTTCATCATTGGGAGATACAATGTGGTTGAGTTAAAGTAACACATTGATTGTTGGTTGTTTCTGCACCAGTAGGATGGTAGGTAATCGGAATTCGGAATTCGGATTTGATGACTATGACTTCAAATTGATGGAACTCTTGGGTTAGCAAAGTGAAAGTTCAATGCCTCAAATCTTTTGCTCTAAAATAGGAGAGCCTATTTATTAGTACTTGCCTACAGAGCACTATAAGCTGTGGAGTTCTATGAACCAAGAAATGTATCGGTCCTTCCTGTAGGCAACTGGAGAGTTTCTAACCATTCATGTTGGATGCTATGGCATTAATGTATGATATTGTTATTCTGAAAATCTGATTTTCAACTAATATAACAAGGAATCCTAGTGTTTGTGTGTTGGTCAATGTTGTGATTGTAAGACTACGAGCAATTTACAATTCTAACATTTTACCATCAATGGAATGAAATCTTGCTCAACAGCAATGTTTCTTCTGAAGTGATTATCTGCATTCAGTTATGATAAATGTGATCTGTTTTAAAAAATTTCACTTTATTTGTAACATAATATTACAGACTTAAATACTTATCGGGAGTGTTGTGATTTGCAACCCCACTTCTGTGACTATGCTTTCAAAGTCTAATCAATCCATTTACCATTTATCCTCAGATATTTACGAATGCCAGAGAAGTTTCAGTATTGATGCCCGGAGAAAATATTCCTACTTTTATTGCCCATCCAGCACCCATGCCTTGCTCCCCTGAGCACATCTCATGGCCCACCCATCAGCATACATCATTGCCGGATATCTCCCAACACTCCAATTCAAGCTCAAGCTCAAGCTCGATCTGAAATAACTATGCATTGAAATGCCAGCTCACTAGTTTGTACATCAAAGCTATTCAGAATCATGGACATTACTCGAGCAAAAATCACACATTAAATATTGAAGAACTGTAGCAAGGAAGAGGAATCTGGAAGGTGGCAATTTTTAATGCGTAGGTTCTTGAATCTGTATATATAGCATTCTGTCATGATGGGCATATAGAGGATTCAATAATTCAACATTGAAAAATCAGGCGATGATTTAGCTTGCATTAATTTATATTTTTCATATGTTTCGTGGTTTTCAGATTTTTAAGATGCTACTAAGATTCCTAGAGATGGATTCAATGTCCACGTCAAATCTGTCTCCTTGTAAAGAATTGAGTATAACTGATGATGGATACAGGAGTAAAAATTGATGGGTCTTCTTTTGCATTTTCGGTTGGCGAGTGTAATTTTTCAGCTTGTTGAGTACAACCACGAGATGAATATTTGTGTCATGATGATTGGAGTATTCAATCAACACGATGAAGAACATTTTAAAGTCTTGTATATTAGCCCACACCATGATTGGCAAAGACAACTCTCGCTTTGGTGCGAAGCAAGGACTTCAGGACAGGAGTACTGGTTTTTTTACTGATCTGAGGTAACAATCCTAGTACCGAGAAACAACCACTTAGTAGGCATACTCTCCCAAAATTTGTGTCCATTTACCCAAATTCTTTGGAAGATATTTGTAAATTGCTCCAAGTTAGGTCTCCAAGTTTGGAAGAAATTAGTACTCTTTTCCTAAGATGCTCTTTTTTTTTAATGATAACCATCTTTTCGGTGCCCCCTTGAACAACCAAATGAACCAAACTGATGGAGGTCACGTTGGTTGGAGACCTGAAAGTTTCTGAGTTTTCGGGTCGTTTGGACCAACCCTACCCCGAGGTGAATGGGGTTTGAACCAACTTTTCTTTGGTTTGGTTGGATGATAGTCAGACATTGTAGCTCCATTGTTAGGATTAGGTCTTCTTGGTTAGCCTTGATGGATTATCAATCCTGATTTCGGGTCTGAGACTAGAGTTGACAAATGGGCGGTGGAGTGGCAGTGGTAGCAATAGTGGTGGTGTTGTAGAGGCGGTCCGTTCTAACGAGTTTAAACCTGAAAATACAACTTATTTATTTGAATGGGTTTAAATGGATTTCAAATAGATATAATTGAACAGGTTTAGAGTTTCAAGTTATTGTTTGCTACTACTACGCCAGACTATCAAATGAATCAATTGAATTTTTTGTTGTTGTCATATTAACTAACTTATGCACTTAGACCAATTGGTACCTAATCAATCATCATTAATGGCATTCCCCTCCTTAAAAAGTTTGAAAACATACATAATTTTTCATTTTTGTGCAAAAATTATTTTCAAAATTTAAACAAACATTTTGGTATTCCTAAAATGTGGGCTGTTTTCCGAAAAATAAAATAAAATAATATAATTTCTAAATTCAATTTACTAATTAAGTTTTTACATGTTTTGATAATAGATAACAAAAAACAAAAATACGACCAAACTCGTCTGTTTGCAAAAGGTCAAGACAAAGTCCAAAAAAATTGAGATATTATCTCTCTGCATGTACAAAACTGTTAGAAACTTTAAAAAAATTATCAAATATATGAAATACGTATATGGGGGCCATCAACATTATATAAAATATTTGATAACTTTTATAATTTCGCTATTATTGCTCCTCCAATTTTTTTTTTGAGTGTTACTATTAGCACCCTATCAATTATTTTGGATCCATCAATTTTTAGTTGTTTATTTCTTATTTTATTACAATAATAACTTTAAATAAAATTACTAAAAAGGACATCATTAATTTTAGGACATCTCATCTCACAATTAAACCCACACACCACTACATCATGAATTAGAGTTTATGAGAGCATCCACTTTCATCACCATTCATCCATCTTCTCTAAATCTCACCTTCAAAACTTAGCCACCATCAAAATCTTGAAAACTCTTTGGCGGCAATATTTCGACGATAATGGTAGCAGCCATTTGATTATCTACACTTCTTCGGTACTGATAATGAGTGAAATTTTTTTCGGCAACCACAACTCCATGAGACGAGAGAAGTACAACAATAAAAGTTCAAAGGAAGTTCATAACTTTGATAGTGTTCTTAACTCAGAGGAGATTAACACTATAAAGATAAGTTTATTAAAAAAAATGGCAAAAATGGCAAAAATAGTAAAACTTGTTTGTCATTTTTTCGAGATTGAACTCTTGAACATATGATCAAAATTCGAAAATATAGGCCCGAACATTGTTTATTTGTTCGGGAACCGATAACCGAACATTTATTATTTGTTTGAGAACCGATAACTGAACATTAATCACCGAAGAAAATAATGAGACGGCAGAGAGAGAGAGTAGAGACAGTAATCACACTTGGCTCTTTTTCTTCGTTGGTTTTATTAGGGTTTTTGGAAGAGAGGTTTTTTTAAAGTGTGGGGATGTGCATTCAATTGAATGGGTGGAATGTTTTCACAAGAATAATTTTGGTATTATCCGGAAGAGAAAAGAAATTTTAAAAGTGTTAAAATTATAAATAATCATTCAAAGAAATAGAGGGTACAAAATAATAGATGAGATTCTAATAACACTTTTTTTTTTTTTTTTGGCGCGAAGAGGAAATAAGGTGAGAGCCACAAAGAAAACCTAGACAATTGCTCCTCCACTGATAATCCCCAAATCTATATGGGTTTCTAGGACCACTACCAACTCCTTGCTAACCCTAGTGAGTTTTCAACGGCTACAAAAATGCATTTTCAATTCCATACCTAATCCTAATACCAAAAATATGCTATTTGAATTGAAATTCAGATATTTTGGATTTACTTGTTTTAATATTAGTGTTTGAACTTAATTGATAGATGCAGTTTGTGAGTAATTGCGGGTACTCAGAATTTATCATATTTGGATGGGTTCAATGTGATCCAACCTTGGAGAGTTCCTCTCTGGCAAATTGAAAAGAAAATCTATATAATGTATATAAAAAAATTTAAGGGTGTACATAAGTCGATTTGGTTTTGAGTAGCATTAATTCTAAAATTGAACCAATTATAATTGATTTTAAGATTTTGGATTAAGGATCAACGAATCCTTTTGAAACCAAATCAAACTAATCCAATCTAACTTGGATTATTTCAAGTTAGAATTGTGGCTATGTCATACTTACATAATTAAATTATTCTTTTATAATAGAACACAACCTCAACTTCAATCTACAATATCATTTGATTTTATTTTTTTTGGAGTATATTACAGATATACCCTCTAAGGTTTGTTTAAAATACGAATTGCTCCCTGTAGTTTGAAAAATTACAAATACCTCATTGTCAGAATTTTTTATTTAACAAAATTAATTGAAAAAGTGAAATTTCTAACTGTTCACTTATACAATAATAAAATTATCTGAATTATTAATTGAAATAAAATTTTAACATTATTAAATTTTTGTAATTAATTTGTTGATTTATTAATAAAAGGACCCATTTGTTATGAAATTAGAAACCTTAGGGGGTATAATATAATTTCTAGAACCACATAGGTAATTTGTAATTTAAGTAAACCTTATGAATGTATTTGTAATTTATCCTTATATATATATATATATATATATAAACAAGAAGAAGAAGAAATAAGTAATAAATGAGTGCAATAAACAAATTTTGAACAATATTAAAACATATGCAACCAACATAAAAGGTGTAAGTGGAAGGTGTAAATATAAAACAGGACAGCAAACAGAAAGGCGTAAGTGTAAGGTGTAAGTTGCACACTTAAGAAAAGTCCTAAAACATAACATAAAAAAGTACAACAATTATATTGATTAGAGGTGCAACTCGGGCGGGTTCGGTCGGGTTGGGGGTCTGCCCAAGCCCGACCCGAATTGTATTTGCCAGTGCCCAAGCCCGAAAAAAGAAAAAAGGAAAAATTAATTTTTTTTGACCAATCGGGCGTGACCCCCGACACCCCCACTGGGGGGTCTCATGCATTTCTGGGTTAGAAATAGCCTAACTTAAGAATCAAACCGATCTGAATGGATTCATCAGTTTTAGACTCAAAATCGATTTAATATATTTACAAAGTTGAACCAACCCAACCCAACCCATGTAGGAATGGCAATGGAGGGCAATGGGGTGGATATTAATTCCCCATCCCTATTCCCCTATAATAAATTTTTCCCATTCCCCATTCCCCATTCCCCATGGGTACCACCCTCCCCATTTTTTAATGGGTATGGATTTTCCCCTATCCACTTTAATCCCCATTTTTATTTTTTATATTTAATGTTAACAACCATTTTTTTTTTTTTTTTTTTTTAAGGTCCAAGTTGCACCCCTAATATTGATGCATCTCAACATAAATAAAATATATATAAAATATATATAAGTTGGAGTCGTAGGTTAGTTCAGGTTAGAAATGGCCTGACTCAAGAATCAAACCGATCTGATTGGATTCATTAGGGTTGGTTTGGGAAGTTGGTTGGCTTTTTGGCTTTTTAGTTTTTTTGACTATTTTAGCCTGGGTTAAAAAGCTTGATTTGGAAAGGGTTTTTTGGTTTTTATGACTTTTTTTGTAAGAGAAGAGTGTAATGATTATGGGTTAGATATGATGTTTTGTTTGTTGTAGCTAAAATAATCTATTCTGTTTTTTGTGATTAAAATAACCAAAAAAACCTGAAAACTTTCTTCCCTCAAAATCGAATTAATATATTTACAAAGTCGAACCAACCCAACCCAACCCATGAAGATCGAGTTGGTTCGGCTGAGAATTCCTTTGGTCTCTTGAGCAGCCTTTAGAACATCAATTTGTTAGTACTTATCATCAGTTTGGGTCTTTTTCCTTTAGAATGATATTAGTAAATAGTATGGGAAAAATAACGACTTTATGGCATTTTACTTTGTAATGTAAGTTCAAATTGACATCTCCAACCTTTACCCTTTATTCATCAAATTTAAATTTGAATCACAAAATTTAAAAAAAAAAAAAAATCTCAAAATCCTCTTCACTTTTTACTAAAACTCATATCAAAATGAGTTGCTCATTTTTTTACTCAAATCAAGGAACATTTTGCTATTTATTCAAAAATTTAAAAATTATTTTGTGACTATTAAATTTATCACTTTGCCATTAATTAAACTTTTACTCAAATTAATACTTAAATTTGAGAGTGGACTTTGGTCAATGTTTTTCAACTTTTTCTTTCTGAAAACCAGCTAGTTAATTCATTAGTGTGATGCAGCTTAGATTTCAATTATTATTACAAAAATAAAAAAAAATCCTTCAAAAATTCCCGTGGCATAGAGGGTTCCATTAGTAGAATAGATCATAGATGACAAAACCACAAAAGATTTGAGTAATGTTAGAATTTTTAAAAGATTTATTAAAATGTTTACCAAATGTTTCATGTGAATGTGAGACTCATGTGACACCCACATAGTGTGAGTCTCACATCCATGTGAGATATTTAATAGAAATTTTGATAAAATTTTTGAATCACAAGCAATTTTCCAACAAACCTTAACCCTCATTGATTCACATGGCAATCCCACACTAAATATGAAAATAATTCCCTTCTCTATCTTATTCCTTTATTTTCAAACAAAAGAATTTCTAATGAAAAATGATATTTGCACTCTAAAAATGGCTTCTTCTAGCACTTTACCAGTATCTCATCAAACAAATTATTTTTATATTTTTAGTTAAATACAGAGGGGGTGTTTTAGAAAGATGGTTAAAAGTTGACT